TCACAGACCACCACCACCATCGCGGCAACCGATAGTATCGCCACATACCCTGCGACGGGACAATCGCAGTTTGGGCGTGGCCGGCGAGTTGTCAGTCGTATGCGGCAACTGGATAGTTCGCAGTACTCGCGGTCAGTGCGCAGAGAAGTGGGGGACTGCGGCTGCAAGACATCAAGCTGGAAATAACATACTACCGAGAGCCAATGTGTAACCTTTTTAGGGGAAGGGGGGGGGGCTGAGAGATGGAATAAGCCTCTTACCAGGCGTAAAACTTTGAAAGTGTGAGGTCACTGTGTCCAAATCAGATCAGTGAGCGGAGAGAAAAACGGAAAGTTGGCGCGATTAAACGGATTGTATTCGATTCGGCGACGGGGGGGGGGGGGAGGCATTTTGCACTTTTGCTGCTTCACCAGTTCCGGTTTACAAGTCTCACTCTGGTGAAACCTGTGAACTCTTGTGAAGCTGGAGCAAGCTCGTCAAGCCATCATGGTAAAACCTGTCAACTCGAGAAGAGGCTGTCTAGATGGGTCGACACGTCGATGGGAAGTAGCAAAGTGCAAAATGCCCCCCCCTCCACCCCGTCGCCGAACTGCCCCGTATTCTTCGAGTTGTCCACAGACCCGCTGCCATGCTGATTGGATTCGGTGCCACTGCGGTCGCAGGGTTCATAACCCCGCTTGTACCGCCTACTTCGCCCCAAATGGGATGTATGGCTCTACACCCCAAACTAGAAGAAACTGGGGACCGAAGGGTATAATTTCCTGATTGAAATGTAAATCATTAAATCCATTGTTATTATTTCACATGATTGTGTTGTATTTGTTTTTCTATGCGAGTGTAATTTCGACAATTTCTTACTCAGACATACCAGTCAAGGTTAAGGTAAAGGTTAACGAGCTGCTGAGCTTCATGGGCGGCTGAGAATTCGCTTGGTAACACCATTGATTCGGTCTAAACATTCTTTTATGGGCATTTGCAAACGCAATTCAGGGACAAGTGTAACTCACATCCATAGGAACCTTCTGTGGCTGCTCATCTGTTGAAGAGCACGATGCCATGTCGCCGTTCATTTCCGGCAAGGTCGGCGGTGACGACGTGTCGGCACGTCCTCGAATCTCTGCAAGTTCCCTTTTTGGAGAAAGGGGAACTTTCGGAAGATGGGTTATTATAAAGTAAATTCGGGCAGTCCGATGGTGTGAGAGTTCTGTGTGATGCAATGGTAAAGTAAGTACAGACCAAGTAAGCCGAGGATGCGCTTATTGTGTTTGGGTCCTCAACCTAGCCCGTCTGCCTGAATCTATGGCTTAACTGTACTATGAACAGGCAGTTCGAGTGCTCGCTGAATAATTTAATTCAGAGCATCTCAGTGCTGGGACGGCCGTGGATCAAGAGTGATGAAATGGCGGCTCGCCGTGTCTCCTATAGAAACAAACATCCAATAGGCAAGCTGCATGATTATGCATGCCTCAACGAAGATGTCAAATTCCATATTAATTTGCCAGGCTGCACAGCTCCTTTTACTGGCCCTCTTTTACTCACCTTACTTCTCCCCAGTTAGCGAACTGCAAAAGGAAGCGAGAAGCGCCGATCAGAAATCTGAGCGGTTGCGCAGGAGAGCCGATACGGAAAGTCGATAATAGATGCAACATGAGCAGTAAGGGTAGGTATCTGTTTATTATGAGCGGATTCAAACTGAAGAAGGCCCTCTCAGAATTACAGGCCCTTGGCATCACTCATCAGTTTCGAAAAGAAATCCAGAGAGAAAAAAGAAGGAAGAACGCAAAACAGAGAACTGACCGTTCGGATTCATTCCAACCTGCACGCATTTTTTGTAGCGACATGCTCGACAAGCGTTTCGGGACGCTGGAAGTGTAAAAACGTATTTAAATCATAAATATAAATGCATAATAAAGCATTAACAGGTAATTATCCCAAGAAATTTACTCCCTCCAGTTTATAACTGATTGACTCAAGAGCTAGGTGAAGCAATGTCTTTCAGGGAGGAGAATGAAATCGAGGTTCTTCACCCGTGAGGTGTCGGTTTTCTGGATTAAAGCGAGTGCACGATGGCACTGAGACGGCTGGTATGCCAACGATCATTCGTGAAGGACTGCCGAAGGTGGTTTGGCCACATCTCACTCAGCCCTTACACCCAGGCACAGGCATTCGATCGGGGAATTGGTCAGGCCCTGTACGACCCCCCCTTTTTGGGGGTTCGGTACGACCCCCCTTTTTAGGGTTTGACGTCACATAATTCCTGAAATTAGATATAAACAATTAGATATAAAAAATAGATATAAACAGTCCTACCTAAATTGACTTGATTTACTTATGTACAAGCGTTTGTGATCAAAAACACGATGAGTTAGCGCATGACCACAGCATAAATGCGAGTTAAATGAGACTATGATTAAAACCAAAAAACAAAAAGCGGTATAACAGAAAAAGAAAACAAAAAAGAAATACGCCTAAAATGCATTAACCCCGAGATGTGGAGTACGGTAGCAGAGATGCGTACGTAATTGCAGCCGTGACTGGAGCAAACGGCTATTAGCCATGGAGCGAGAATTTTCAGCAAAGTAGGGTGTCTTTGAAGGACCATAACTTCCTCCCCCAAAAGAGCGGACCCGTGGGGAAGAGGAGAGCGTATTGGTAAATTAGAAGGTTTGGTCTTCCTGAAAGTACTAAAATGTTTATGAAGGTCGCGAAAATCACAGAGAAAGCTGCCATAGGGATTCGTTGGGGAGTGAAGGGTTGAAGTTCAAGTTTGAAAACAGGTTTGAATCAATATATTTTTTTTGTAACTCAACATTTCACAAATCTGAGAACGGATCCGAGCTTCTCAAGATTTTCTCTTTCTAAAAACCTATTGAACTGTTCCTGAAGCTCTCGGGATTCATGAGATCTCGCGATGGGGATTTCTTAGGGAGCACTCCCAGCCGCGCGAAAAACCCGTTTCCTGTGCACCGTTTCAAGTGAGCGTGTTCGAATAGCCAGGAACGCATGTAGAACGTATTCTGTCCGCGTAAGAGCAGGAGCAGAATATGGTTCGTTTAGCGCCGATCACGCTGACTTTGTATGCGCCGCGCACTGAGGTCCGCGCAGAAGTGATGGGATGGTGCAACTTGTGCATAATGTGTGTCCACGCGCGCAAATGTGTCTGTAGGATTCAGGGAGGTCCATGGCGAACCTGTGCACTTGTCTACAGTGTGTTTCACCTCTGCGGTTATTGATGTACGCGTGGTCGCGTGTCGGACGCCGCCAGATCTGGTTGCTCCGATAGTTGCTGATTCGATAAAGGGAGACAAGTGTGCGAAAACTCTGCGTTACGAACGATAGTGGTAGTGCCTGTCGTTTAGTCAGAAAAAAAAAAACAGGTTGGCTCTCAAAAAAAAAACCAGGTCGCTCGAACAAGCGCGTGATCGCGGACACGCCCCATCATCCGCAGCAAACCAGAGTATGAGTTGTAGTGTTTAATCACTTACGAGATGTTGTCGACTTATTAATAATTCCAATTATTTCGGATTAGTTTGATGGATGAAAGTTTTGTACTCATTTTTTACATATCCGAGTTCTCTACGAAGCAAGTTCCGCTACACAGGATTCAGCACACTGACACCTTTGCGCTGCTCGATACTGGCTACCGCACTCATTACGACCCCCCCCCTCTCCTGGCGGCCAAATACGACCCCCCCTATGGGGATTCCCCAACCAATGCTGTGCCCTGCTTACAGCAATGACGCTGGCAGCAACCGCCCGCCCCCATGCATCGTATCCACTACTTTCAACCTATAGTGTCCTCTCGGGTAAAACTCTGTCAAGTTAGATGAAAATCCGTAGAATGTGGGTGAAAAAATTAAGCAAGTAATTAATATAAGTTAAGAGTCAAATAATTAATGGTCCACTAGCCTTTGGTTATTTCACAGCAGTTTCCTCGGTAACATTCCAGACTTTTTGCTGAGAGATAGACGCGTCGGAAGAAACCTTTACAGCTCCTAAAATCACCATCATATCACTTACAAATGAAGGTAGATTGCCGAGTTCTTTGAAAAACGCTCAGTATGACATCAAAGTGTACTGCAGTGAGGTACTGCCACGATTTACCTTCTATCGCCCCATCCTTTGAAATCTAGGTCAGTTTTTGAACGGAGATTTTTGAACAGTTGACTGGAAATTTGCTCTCTGAGATATTTCCACCTTTTGAATGTCACATTCGTTTATTCGTTTCAATCAATTAGTGATTTTGACTATTCACTCAATGATTTTGGGTGTTCGGCGTGACAACCGTGATAAACACCTAGAATCACCAAATCCTAAAAGCTTGCCCCAAGCGGCAGCCCTACCCCCTGGGTTTGCTTGGCGACTGCATTGCCAGCGTCGGCGCCAAAACTGCCTTGCTAGGCTGACACGCAAGCGCCAGGCGTTTCCTTTCAAGATCTTCGTGTTAGGACGGACAACCGAGGGACAACGTTTGTGACAACTCTGTCACTAGGGTAAGACTAGATATGAAATCACACAAAGTGGTAGCAACAGTAAAACCAAAATGAAATGCGCAAAAAAATACATAACAGAAAAACTAGATCTACATACATCTTCATACGCGTGGTCTGAAGTTCCGATACAGGTGCCATAAAGCTAGACTAGTGTCAAAAAGGTTGAAATACTGTGGTTAATATCGTTGTTTACACTTCAAATCACTGAGGTGGGCGTGGCTGCGCGCTTCATTTGAAAACAAACTGTTCATCACCTTCGAGGACGGTCCTTTCTAAGCGCGAGGTGAGTGGGCCTACAGCTGCAAGGATGTGCCACTTTGTCTGTTTAAAATATACAGGACTGGGGCTTGAGTGTAGTGATACCAAGGTGCCTTCTTTATACTCCGCTCGTGCTATCCTCATCGTGCAAGCATTTGCTTCGATACCGAGATCCCGCAGCGAAACACATACTCAGTGGTAGAGAACAACCAGAAAATGGAGGGCGCAGTAAAGCAGCGGTACAGTTCAAAGACAGCCCCGCGCTCAAGTAGTACATGCCCGTCCTTCTTTGTGCAG